AGGAGTGCGGTAAGGCTCTCTCTTCTTTTCCCCTTCAACTGTCACCTCCCCGTTTGCTGCATTGGGGGCTGTGGAGCAGGGCAGCAGCAGGCAACTTTGGAAAGCTATTCTGTGTCCCCTGTCCCCCTGGGGGATGCAGCCCAGGGCTGGTCTAGGGAAGGAAGGAGGCCCTGTCCCTGCTCCTGTACTCCCAGGGATCAAGAATGAGCTGAGCTCTCACAGGTGGCCACCTTGTCCCCAGCTGCGTGCTGCATAACTGTCCTGCCTTATCTTGGAAGGGGGGTAGGGGCTGGGCTAGAGCAGTCCCCCTGAACTGTGATGCTGTGGGGTTGTGGGGGTGCAGGATGATGGGGAGCTGTTCTGTCTGCAGCCTGGGAGTTTGCCTTCTGAACCAGGGACAACTGGGAGTCAGGGGCAGTAGGCTCATGGGACCCAGGTCCTGGCCACTACCTCTGTGGCCCAGTCTCCTAGTTAGCTATAACTGTCAACTTGACAGAGCCTAGAGTCACCTGAGAAAGGAGTCTCAGTTGAGGGATTACTCAGATCAGGTTGGCCCATGGCCATGTCTACGGGAGATTGTCTTGATGTAGGAAGTCCCAGCCTACTGTGGGCAGCACTATTCCCTGGGAAGGCAGTCCTGAGCTATATAAACAAGGTAGTTCAGCATGAGCTTTTGAGTCCGCACACAGCATTCCTCCATGGTTTCTGCCATACTTCCTCACGGTGAGTTCCTGGTTAGAGGTCATTCTGTGTGGAATATAAGCAGGTCTGCCTGTAAGTTTTTGCTTGAGTTCCTGTCCTTGACCTCCCTCAGTGATAGACAGTGACCTGATAATGTAAGCCAGATAAAACCTTTCCTCCCTGGGGTTGCTTTTGGTTAAGAGTGTTTTATCACAGCAACAGAAAGAAAACTAGCACACCCTGAGGCGAGGCGCCGGTCCTGCTCCTGAGCCCAGCTCATCTGTCCAGTGGGGGTGACAGTCACATGAGTGAACAGACCCCTCATGTCCCCAGGCACCAGGCATGCCTCAGGAAGCTAGTCTCTCCACTTCCACAGAGGTTGAGGCTGGTGGCGGGTCAGGGGGTTGGCAGCTGGTCTCTGTGGTGGTCCTGGGAGGGAAAGGCCACCTGTCGGCCATGCCAGAGGCTGAGGTTAAACAGAAGAAGCCGCCACTCTGCACAGCCATCTAGGCAGACTCAGGTCTTTTTAGGGGTCCTCTGAGCACCTTGTTCATTATTTGGGGTTTTCAAACCCCAAATGAGACCATAAATGTGGCACTAAACTTCAGGGTTCAGGATTCAGGCCTCAGACTTTGATACAGCTGAAGACTGTACTCTGGTACTGTCGGCGAGCATCCCCACTTCAGCCCAGTGGTGGGCCAGTTTCCTCTCAGAAACTATGGAAGCCTCAGAGTCTGGCCAGAAAGGGACACGGAGACCCATTGGACGTTAGTGGAAGCGCAGCCATCTAGACAGACTCAGGCCTGACACACAGTTTGGGGAGAAGGTGATGTTATCAGGAGAGCACAAGGCAAGTCTGGTCCTGGGAGAATGTAGGCACTGTCATGCAGTGCAGCTGATCTGGGTTACAGCTGCATCCATAGTGTATGATGTAGTGGCCAGAACTTAGGAGGGGCTCAGTAGCTGTTGAATGAACAGGTGAATGGATGGATGCATGATCAGATGGTTGGCTAGTAGGTGGATGCATGGGTGGATGAATGGATGGATGAATGGATGGATGGATGAATAGATGGATGGATGGATGAATGAATGGATGACATGGATGCGTGGACACATGGATGATATGGATGGATGGTTGGACAGATGGGTGATATGCATGGGTAGATGAATGGATGGATGGACAGATGGACAGATGAATGAATGAATAACATACATGGATGGACGGACAGATGGATGAATGGATGGATGAATGGATGGATGAATGGATGGATGAATGGATGGATGGATGACATGGATGCGTGGACAGATGGATGATATGGATGGATGGTTGGACAGATGGGTGATATGGATGGATGGTTGGACAGATGGGTGATATGCATGGGTAGATGAATGGATGGATGGACAGATGGACAGATGAATGAATGAATAACATACATGGATGGACGGACAGATGGATGAATGGATGAGTAGATGAAGAAGAAGGATCTGGGTGCATTACCCACTGTAGTGACAGGAATGTGATACCTTCCCCTTCCCTTCTTGGGTTCTGCACTGTTCACTGTTGATCCCCTCTCTTTGGCCCTGTGGCCTGCCCTTTGCCCATCTTTCAGAAGCGTGTTGCTTGTATGGCTCTCTCACTGCCTCTCCATGTCTGTTCCTCATCCTGCCCGGGCCCTCTACTTCCTCCCTGCAACTCCAGACCCTGCTGTCCCTTTCGTGCTTTTCCCTCACAGTCACCCCTCACCGATCCCAAGATCTTTTATTGATCGCCTCGCGTGTACAGGGAGCTTGCCTGGAGGACTGCAGCCCCTCTAGTCTTACAAGGGGGGGATTATTATGTGCTCATTCTCATGGAGAGGAAGCAAGGCTTAGAGAAGCCCCTGCTCACACAGCCAGAAAGTGGCCAGTGAGTCGCTAGGCCTGGTCTGGCTGTATGCAGAGTGCTTTGCCCCTCTCCCATTGTGGCTTGGGTTCTTGTCCTCTCCCCCGTCTTCTATCCAGCTATGAACTGGTGGCAGAGGTGAGCACGGAAGCCTTCTCTGGTCAGTACTCCACACTGCCCTTACTAGTCTTTTGAGAGGAGGGCAGTCATTGAAATGAGACAGGAGCGGGCATGCAGAGCTCCTAGCCTTGAGTCCACACCCGACTTCTCAGGGTCACAGTCACCCATCGAGTGCCACCACAGAGCCGCCAGGACCAAGCGGAAAAGGCAAACTCATTGGCCACATAGTCCAGACAGAGGCCTTGGCAGTGGAGGAGGGGGAGGGGGAGAGGTCTATGCCTGGGATGGAGGGATGGCCGTGATGCCCTCTAGATGGGGCCCAGGCTCCTGGACCCACAGCTCACTGCAGGAGGGTTTCACAGGAGCCTCAGTCCCACCGTTAAATGTCACACATAATATATTTGGCACAGTCCTGGTTAGTAACAGTGGCATGGCAGGATGGGCTTCAGGCCCAGAGAACTTGCCACTTGGTGTAGCCCAGGGTCACCTTGCCCACCATCTCCAATGTGGCCTCCAAATGCCAGAATCTCCTGACAATTTTTTTCCCTCTCCTGAGTCCAAAGGGAGGAAGTGGTTGGAGCCTTCCTCGTAGGACACCTTAACAGGCCTCTCCCTACCTGCTGGGGACCCTGGGCCTCACTTTCCTTGACCACTGAATTGGGGTTGATAGGCGTACTGCAGAGGGAGGCCACAAGCAGTTTCATCACCTGTTCTTGATGGGCGAAAACACTCAGTCCTGATCACTGTCACCAGCAGTATCTGACGGGCCGCTCCCCTGCCTCAGGGCGGTTCCTGCTTCTACCTGGAGTGTCAGGCTGCTTGTCTTCTTGGTCTCTGTGGATGTGTTGTAGGACTTGCCTCTTACTCCCAGTAGCAGTCCTGTCACTCTTCCACTGTCCACACATCTCGGCGAAAGGAAAAGGGAATAAATGAGTCAGTGAGATGACTGCTCTGGGAGCAGGTGCCTCTTGACCAGATGGAAAGTTCCAGGATCAGTAGTGTGAGGTTGTCTGGGCTGTGGCTCGAATCAGTATTCATTTCCTTTTTGTGGTTAAGTAGTATTTCATTGTACGTGTCACTGCGTCTTGCTTGCCCATCATCTGTGGATGAACACTTGAAGAGTTCCCACTCTAGGGCTGGCGTGAACAATATTGCAGAATATATGTATATATGTGTGTATGTATATATATGGATTTTTGAGTCCCTTTATTCACCTTTAAGGGGTGAACCAATTTGGGGTAATTCTGTGTCCAATTGGGATTTCTGGGTCATATAGTAATTCTGTATTTAACTCAATGAAAACCCAAGCATTTCCTCTGAAAAAAAAAAAAAATCAAGCCCTGTGGTTGAGGGTAGTGGGGATGGGAAGTCTAGGATAGATGCATTTGCAGGGTGTGTTTCTTAACTACAGTAGTTCTGAGTGCTGAGCTGAGAAGTGCTCAACAGGTGTATGATAGATGGATGGATGAGTGGGTGGATGAATGGATGAGTGGGTGGATGGATGCGTTGGTCCTGACTGGATAGATGGATGGATGAGTGGGTGGATGAATGCATTGGTCCTGACTGGATAGATGGATGGATGAGTGGGTGGATGGATGGATGAGTGGGTGGATGGATGGATGAGTGGGTGGAGGGATGCATTGGTCCTGACTGGATAGATGGATGGATGAGTGGGTGGATGGATGCATTGGTCCTGACTGGATAGATGGATGGATGAGTGGGTGGATGGATGGATGAGTGGGGGGAGGGATGCATTGGTCCTGACTGGATAGAAGGATGGATAAGTGGATGGGTAGGTGAATATAGGGGTGGGTAAACAGATGGGTGGATGAAGGGATAGGTGGAGGGATGGAGGGATGGATAGATGGATGGATGAGTGGGTGGATGAATGCATTGGTCCTGACTGGATAGAAGGATGGATAAGTGGATGGGTAGGTGAATATAGGGGTGGGTAAACAGATGGGTGGATGAAGGGATAGGTGGAGGGATGGAGGGATGGATAGATAGATGGATGAGTGGATGGGATGAATGAGTAGGTAGATAGATGGAAGGGTAGGTAAGGGAATGGGTGGATGGGTTAAATAGATGATTGGGCGTCTGGATGGATGGGTACATGAATGGAAAAATCACTAGGTGAGCCAGCCTCGCTTGCGTAGCTCTTCAGAGCTGTATCCTCTGGGAGGAAGCACAGCCCTGTGGGCATCTTCCCTCAAGGTCCTGTCCTAGACTGCTCTCTGCTCTGAGGCATCAGGCTGGATCCTCCAGGTCCCCATGTAAACCTTGTGCTGTTCACTCATAAGCTTCTGCCCTTCTGCAGGGGGACATCCAGCAGCTGCTCTTCGTCTCGGACCACCGGGCTGCCTATGATTACTGTGAGCACTACAGCCCTGACTGTGACACTGCGGTCCCTGACACACCTCAGTCTCAGGATCCCAACCCAGATGAATATGTGAGTCACTTGTGGCTGGGCTCATGGTGGGGAGCATGGGCAGACCCTGGGATGGTATGGGGTAAGCAAGAGTGTGATTGTGAAGGGCTGCAGGAACCATGGGACACAGTTTTAAGTGAACTCATCAGGGAAGTGGTATGGGATGTTTGATCCACTTTACCACGCAGCGCTTCCTCAGTGATGGCGCCTCTCAAGGGAGCGTCATTAGCTACCATCTCCTCTGACCCTCCACACTTGTCCCTAGTTGAATGCAGCCAGGTCTCTCTTACCCTGTGGCTACAGCCTCCGGGGCTCTCCAGGGTTAGTCCCTCATGGGTGCCTGAAGTTTGCAAATAGGGAGTTGTCTAGGACTGTGCACTACAGCGGCCAGAGTAACAGTGACTGAAGGGCATCCGTGACTGCCCCTTCACCTTTCTCTCCGTGCCCCAGTCTGGTTGCTGAGTCACGCCACCCCTGCCCCTGTTCCAGTGACATCTTTGTTCATTCAGTTTACAGCTCCCCCTTATATTTTACTTATGCTTCCTCACACAGTCTGTGTCTGGTCAGACTTCTCTCTTGCGTCTCCACGCACTTTACTGCCTGTACCGTACTTTTCCTTGGGTCTCCCCTTTCCCACCACTGGTCAGAGAAGGTGGGGGGCTTTCAGGGGGCTGTAGGATCCCCTGGCCCAAGCCACAGCCCACAAATCCCAAGACTGGTGCTGGGTGGAGCTCCTAGGCCAGTTCCCTTCAGGTCCTGACTCATCTGAGGACAGCGTACCTGCTCTGTGACCCCGAGTCCTTCCTGCTGTGTCCTCACATTTTGGGGACTGAAGGTCAAGTTTGGATGATGGCTGTGGCCAGGGGAAGCCGTACTTTGTCTGGGTGTCGTTGCTCTGGTTCCTACGGGTCAGATATTAGCACTTTTAGGGTTCAGTTTTCTTTGACTTCTACTGGGGTCATCCATCCCAACTCTGGGCTTCTCTTCTGGGGCTCACTCAGCTTCCTAGGGAGTGGCTGGGGGGAGAGTCCCATCCAGGGTCCTGCTTGGCTTGGGCTGTGCCTCATGGTGTCTACTCTCCTGGCCAAGCTAGGGCAAGCAGGCTGCGCTGGTAATATACCTCTCTCTTTCTTCACATGGCTCCCATCAATTTCAGTATCCGGAAGGAGAGGGAGAGGGTGAGACCTATTACTACGAGTACCCCTATTACGAAGACCCCGAAGACCCTGGGAAGGAGCCTGCCCCCACACAGAAGCCAGTGGAAGTCACCAGAGAAACCACAGAGATTCCTGAGGTCTGAGCTAGACTGGGGCTAGGCTGGGCCGGCTCCTGGTCTCTCAAGGTCATGGAGCAGGGGACGGGGAGGGCCAGAGGCTGTGAACATGGTGGCACGTGCCTGTCATCCTAGCACTTGGGAAACTGAGGCAGACCGATCATGAGCTACACAGGCAGATTCTGAGAAAACACAACCCTACACAAAGAGGAAGGGTGTGGAGATGGCTAAGAGGTTAAAAGCACTGGTTGCTTATCCATGGAGACCTGAGTTCAAATTCCCAGCAGCCACGCTTTGGCTTTAACCCCAGAGTTGCTAAGGGGGGTGGGGGTGGAAGTGGAGGAGACAGGAGGATCCCTGGGGACTGCTAATGGTCAGCCTAGCTCCAGGTTCAGTGAGAGACCCTGTCTCAGAGGAATAAAGTAGACACCTAACATCCTCCTCTGTGAACAGGAACATACACCTGCCCACATATGTGCACATACGGCACATATGCGTATATACAAGACACACATGAAAATAAAAGTTTTTTCAAAACCAAGAAGCTTGAGCTGTGGTTGGCCCTTTCCCGGTATCCCTGGGTGGTCCTCCATTCCCCAGATCCTTCCTGCCTGGATCCCCTGGGCTGGTTGCTTCCCTCCCTCCCTTGTCTGCCTTCCTCCCAGGGACAAAGGGCTCTGTGCCTGAGCTGTCGGGCCTTGGCTGAACCCCAAATCCATACTCCACATCTTACTCCTCAAGGATGCCTGGCTGGGTCCTTGGTAAATCCTGGATACAGGCACCCTGACCACCTCTCTCTACCCTTGGCCCCCAGGAACAGACCCAGCCTCCATCAGAAACCCCTACGGTACCAGACACCAGTGACAGGGTGGGCAAGGAGGATAACCCCGGCATCGGGGACTATGACTACGTGCCCATTGACGACTACTACACACCCTCCCCGTATGATGATTTTGGCTATGGCGAGGGCGTGGAGAACCCCGACCAGCCCACCGACCCCGATGCAGGGGCCGAGGTTCCCACCAGCACTGCGGTCACTTCCAATGCCTCCAATGTAATTGCTTTTCTTCCCATTTGGTGTGAGGCAGGGGCAGGGGTTGGGCAGGGCTGAGGACAAGGGTTGGGACAGAAGGGAGGGTAGGGGCTGGGAGCTGGGCCAGGGGCGAGGGCAGAGGTGGGGGCTGGGCCAGGGGTGAGGGAAGAGGTGGGGGCTGGGCCAGGGGTGAGGGCCGTGGCTCTAGATTGTTTCTGAGCTTCTGTTTCCTCTGCCTCCCCCTTGGGTGTCCTTGGGTGCCTCCCCATGCCCACACCCCCACACCCTGACTCCTGAGTCCTCTGCGGCAGGTTGAGTACAGGTTAGAAGTCCTGTCTTTCTCACTTTGTCAGTTTTCTCCTACCACGTGGGCAGAATGAAGTGCCCTTGTAGGCTCAGGTGGGATTGGATGAGCAGATACCTGCCTGCAGACAAGCCCTGCCCGTAGCTGGGCAGTGAGATCTGGACAAACACAGACAAACAGGAGGAGTTGGTTAACAGACAGTAGACCTCATCAGCAGGTGAACTGGCTTGAAATCTCCGCCAGTGGTGTTTGGGAGCTTAGCCAGCCTCTGCTGAGCTCTGAGTTCTTCCCAGCATGGCTCTGATAATGTTACGGTTTTGGCTTGGGGTAGATTCTATCTGCTCATGGCCCAGAGCATATGCTCAAAGGAGCCTTCCTCACAAGGTGCTGATCTCTTTAACTGCCAGAGAGAGAGCCCAGGGCTCCAGTGCGCAGGCCCCTGATGATCCCCAACTGAACGCAGACCTCTCAGGTGTGCAGCATGGCTAGGAGAGGTGCCACGACTCCGTCCTGCCGTAGCTTGTTATAGAACGTCCCCCATGGCAGTTGGGAGGTGTGCAGAGAGGCTCTGGAGGCTACAGGTCAGCCCCCATGTAAGCCTCTGCTCTGGAGTCTGTGGTGGGGCCACTGGCCACCATGTGCGGGAAGTGCTGGGCCCAGTGCCCACCAGGCAGAGCCTGCGCATTGGCGTAGTCCTCCCTGGGTCACCCTGATTTTGTCCTCCACCTGCAGCCAGCTTCGTCTCCAGGGGAAGGGAATGATGACCTGGAAGGTGAGTTTACTGAGGAAACCATCAAGAACCTGGACGAGAATTACTATGATCCTTACTTCGACCCTGACTCTGACTCCAACGTCTCCCCATCGGAGATTGGGCCAGGCATGCCAGCCAACCAGGACACCATCTACGAGGGGGTGAGAGGCACGGGCTCTGCTCTGCATGGGGGCATCAGGGTGGTGGACAAGGACCGGAGTTTCCGGAGCTTTGGGGTCCACAAAGTGACTCATTTTTAAAACCTCTCTTGCTTCTCTGACTTCCGTTATGGTCACTTGTACCTTGTGGGCCGACTGTCTTGGTACGTACGTGACTGGGGACAGTGAGAGCAGAGTCCGTGCCATTGGTTACACTCCTCCGGGGCCTGAGGGACGGTGTCCAGGCCTAGAGAGTGCCCTGGATTTGCTAGGCGGCATAGATTTTGTGTCATATGTCTTTCCCTCCCTCCTCCCTCATTCTTTCTCTCCTGTATCTTATCACCCCCAGATTGGAGGTCCGCGGGGCGAGAAAGGTCAAAAGGGAGAACCGGCGATCATCGAGCCGGTAAGGACGTTCTTACTGAGTCTCTGAGCTGAGGTGTCTCTGCTTCCGGGTTCATGTGCATTTTGTAGCATGTGACCAGAACTGTGAGATCCTGCTGTCTGCTCACAGGCCCCTAGAGAAGCTACCCCACAGGCTGTATCACAGCTACTTGGGAGTGGCCATGAGGAGGGAGAATATTCTAGATCTCAGTTGAGATGCTGGGCCATGTGTGGGTCACAAGAGTCTGTAGGGCAGAGAATGAAGGAGGTCAGAGCAACCCCAGATAGGACCAAACCCTTTTAGGGTCCTAGGAGGCGCACGTAAGAGGGTTAGCAGCACGGATTGAGGACTGGGTCCTGGGCTCCTAGTGTAGGTGGCTGTGGGAATTGTTAAGGGCTTCATCTCTTCACACCTGAAGGGTCCTTTTGAAGTCTCCATTTGCATCCCTGTTGTTGAGATGGGGGTGACCTGAAGCCTTGTCACGGGAATTCCCCCTTGCATAAAGCCCCACTGCGTTAGGCAGCAGGTTCCTGGGTAAGTTAACACCGGGGTCTGTAGAACGTGTGGTCGGGTACAGCATAGCCTACTGTCCATGCTCCTCCACTGGGTTTAGTGGGGCCCTGCCTTTGCTGGCTGTCCTTGCCCCTCTAAGTACTGTGGCCTGTTTGGGAGCCCCAGGCTCCTCCCCATGGTTCTAAACCTGTGGAGGTTAGAGCCTTGATCCTGTAGGGGAGAAAGTTGTGTGATCAGCTGGGCAGGTTGGGCCTGGGAGTGTGGGAGGAGCCAGCTGCTGAGGTCTGCCTGGCATATCTTTTGAGTGCCCAAGGGAGAAGGTGCTGGGCCTGTATGGTGGCCGTCTCAGGGCTGGGCAGCTGTCCCTCTACTGCCAGGACTCCGTCTGAGCCCATGACCTGACCTCAGGGTTCCCTGGGAGGAAAAACCAGCCTTTTGGGGGGATCCTACCCTCCTGCCGAGGAGGAGCCTTGCCTGCTAGTGCTCCCCTTGAAGAACCCAGCAGAGTGTCCTGGCTTGGCCCCTTTCCTGGCATAGGGAAGCCTTGGAAGGAAACGTCTTGCTGGCGTTCCAAGGGCTCTGCACCTCCCCTCAATTCTCACTTCCCTTTGACTGTGAGCCCTGAGAACACATATCTTCCCAGATACACAGCCCTCTGTGGTCAGGGGAGATTGCATTTATCTAAGGCCATGGGGTCAGAGAGTGAAGGGAAGGGCTACAGAGCATGAGGGTCGCATGGCTCTAGCCCTTGCTCAGCCCTATGCAACATCTCGACCCAAGACCATATATAAGGAGAAGGGCATTCCTGAACAGGAGCATGTTAGCGGACTGTGGCAGGCTCAGCCCCAAGCATTTGTCTGGGGCTTGTTCCAGTCCTCGCCAGACAGGATCAGCAGCACACGAGGCCTCTCTAGGGAGCTGGACCTTCCCTCCAACACCACCTCAGCTGAGCTCAGTCCCAGGTGGACTTGAGAGTGACACAAGGCTCCTCTGGTGGGATCCCTCTTGCCTTTGCCTCAGTTAAAAAAAAAAAAAAACACCTTGCCTGGGTAGGATAGTGAGATCCCAGGGTACCCAAGGCTCCGTGGGCCTCAAGGTGCTCCCTGCTTCAGAAGGAGCTAGGTAGCATCTTTGAATAAATAAACCTTGGGTCAGGGTGTCACACCAGCTCCAGGAGGAGGGAGAGGCATAGAGAGGGTCCCAGCTGCAGGCCTATACCGAAGGAGGCTGTGGGTGAGGGTGGGCCAGAGATGGACTGAGAATGTGGAGGCGGTCCGATAGACATGTCATCTCTGGACAACCCAGCTCCTATTCTCTGGGAACAGCACAAGTCATCTGGATTCAGTTACAGAAAGACTTGCACCCCCACCCGATGCTCGCGTCTTCCCAGCCCCCTCAGAGAGTCCATAGGGCCTTTTGCCAGTCCCCGTGGAGAGATAGCGTACAGTTGGAACTGTCAACCTGGAGTGCTGCCAGGTGTCCTCAGCATCTTAGATGTACATGAGCAGATGGTGGCCTAGGAGGCTGCTGATACAATCCTCGCCCTGTGTGGAGATAGCTGCTGCTCCCCCACCCCCATCTCCTGCACCTGCCCCACAGGATGGGCTAGCTGCAGCTGCTGAACATAGCATCGGTCCCTCCTCTGCATCCAGAAGGGACATGGCTGGTCCTTTTCTCTCAGCTCCTCTAATTTGTCAGCAAGAACAGGGGCTCTTTAAAAGGACAGAACCCACTTTGCAGGCAGGGCAGATCCAGCACATCCCTGGTGTCAGTCTATACAGGCTCAGGGACCAGTAAGCCCTGACTTGATGCCTTGCGCCTGGTAGGCAGCCACCAGGAGCCCTAAGCCACCTGCTCTGCCTTGCTGGGTTATCATTACCTTTGGTTTTTTTCTTGAGACAGGGTCTCATGTAGCCCAGGCTGGCCTTGAACTTGCTATATAGTTGAGGATGACCTTGAACTCCTGATTCTCCTGTGGGGGTGTGTCAAACTCAGGGCTTTGTGTATGCTCGGCAAGCACTCTATCAGTTGAGCTATAGCTCCAGCCCCGTCACTGATTTTGTATAGTCTTCCAAGCAGCGGGGCAGAGCTCCAGTAAGGATGGTTTGGGAGCTGGGTTGGTCACATGTGCCTGTGGTACCAGCACTTGGGAGGCTAAAACAGGAGGATCCGAGTTCCAGACCAGCCTAGGCTATGGAATGAGACTTTCTCTTAAAAAACGAAAATGAAACAATTATCTTGAGTGTGACCAAGAGTGAGATCTTTTATTTCTGGTTTTTTATTTAATCGTATGTGTTTTGGATGACGAGAATATGATTTTTTTCTTTTACTATTTTGAGTGTGTGATATATGTATGTATTAATATGGTTATGTGCATGCCTCTGTGTGTGTGTGTGTGTGTGTGTGTGTGTGCTACATGCATGTGTATGCTGTCAGAGCCCCAAAGCTCTGTAGCTATAGATAGTTAGGAGCTCTCTGACGTGGGTACTGGGAAACAAACTCGGGTCGTCTGGGAGAGCAGCAAGTGCTCTTAACCACTGAGCCGTCACTCCAGCTCCTTTACCTCATGTTTTGAGAGAGGCTCTCATGAACCTGGAGCTCACCAGTTGTCTAGACTGGCTGTTCATTAACGTCACGGATCCGCCTGTCTCCAGGAACAGGTACATGCCTGGCTTTTATGTGGGTGCTGGGGATGTGAACTCAAGTCCTCGTGCTTACACAGCAGACACTGTCGTAACTGAGCCGTCTATCTAGGCCCTGAGTATAGTGCTTTGACATGCTTACCCTGAGATCTGTGTACACAGTGAGGAGCTGAATCTCACACCCTGTGTCTCATCTACTCTGTGTGTGCATGTGTGTGCGTGTGAGCATGTATGTGAGTGCATGTGTGTGGGGGGGGGCGGGTTGGGAGGTAAGAGTGGCTGAGATCATCTCCAGCAGGTTCCTGATACATAAGGCCCTGTCATTAGCTACAATGACACTTCTCCTGTAGTTCCAGTGTATTTGGGAAGCAGATATGGAGTGGTGAGGTACAGGACAGGGCCAGCATGCCTCAGAAGGCCAGAGGCCAGACCCTGGATGAGCTCCAGCCTCCCTTCACTGGGCTGTTCTTCCAGACGCCCTCCTTCCTTTCCATACTGACCTGGGCTCAGCCTCCCATGAGCGCCCACAGCGCTGGCCCCACTCTCCAGAACAAAAGTGTGTGTGTCTGGGAAGACAGCTGCTGTCCCTTGGGCCCTGCCAGGGCCAGTGGTCCCCCTTAATTCCTGCTGCACTTCTGAGCCCTCCCAGATGCCTAACAGAGGAAACAGGAAGCGGGGAAGATGAGCTGCTTGGATGAGCTCTCTGTGTACATCACATGCACAAATATTTCTCTGAGCACACATCTGTGTAAACACAGCATACAACTTCCCAGCAATTGGGAGCCCTCGTAGGCAGGGTGGAGGAGGCTGGGGGAGGGGGTAACGCTGCGGCCAAGTGTGCCTCACCCCTCCACACTCCTTAGCCATGGTGACCAGCCTGCTAGGGCCTCACACCTCCATCTTTCCACTTGTTGGTAGTAAGCCCGCCGTTGACGAGAGGGCCACATGCTTTCAGTGGCACACCTGGGCACCCGTTATCTCTGCAGAGCAGCCATTCTTGTTTTCCTTTGACCAGGGGTCTAGAGAGGAACCTGACCCGTGGACAAGGTCTCCAGCCCTTTCACCCCACTCCTGTTCCTGTGGTCTTGAGAACCACCAGTGAGCGGGACATGTCTGGGCACGCTGTGCATGTGGCTAGCCCATGCAGCTGGGAAATGTGGCTTGCAAGTGCAGAAGCCTGACAGGAACTTGCAGACACCCGCCCAAGGCTGGCCTGGACTCTGGGGACAAGCCCACAGGGTTATAACTGTGTGCATCACTCCACAAGCAGAGACTCGTACAGTGGAGACCCCGAAGTGGGCTTGGGACCCACAACATTCAGGATGGGTGGGGGTAGGGAGACAAAGAGAAGTTGTGGGGGGGTGGGTCGGTCCAGAAATGCAGATCCCAGAGTAGGAAGCTCTTTCTTCTGGGACAGGGCCAAGGGGTCACTAGGAGGCAGGAAAGAAGGCTTTTCCCCGATTAAACACAGTGAGGCCTGTGGGTCTAGTGTCAGGGTGGGGCCTGATTTCAGGGATAAAGGGTGGGAAGGGGGCTGCTGTGGGGAAGGCGACCTTGGCAGGCAATTATCCCTCTAGATACTGTTGGGCACTTAGGAGGAGATGTGGCTCACCTGCAGAGAACAGGGACTGAGTGTTCTCCTGTCTAGAGCAGGAGTCCTGCCCGCACTTGGTCCACAGCCCACCCAGCCTTCCTCAGTCCATCTGGCACCTGGTTCTGGGATCCACTCTGTCCCCCCAGTGGCTGTATATTCCCCACGCAGTTGACAGGTGTTGGGGGACGGTGTGGTTGAGGAATCTTTCTGTCATCCTGGCATCTTGGGTCCTTTCATTGACATAATTGAGGGGAACCTGTGCACCCCGACCACTGGCCAGAATTTGTCATAACTTGGAATGCAAGATAGGCAGTATGTTTCTCAGCAAAGCCTGGCATTCATGAGCTCTGAGAGGATGGTCTGACCTCTGGGTGGACAGGTATAAGTGTATCGATTCTTGTCTACCCAGCTTGGAGACCGAGCTGGGCCTGTGATCTCAGACACCCCCTTTCTCTCTGCAGGGCATGCTGATAGAGGGGCCACCTGGTCCAGAAGGCCCTGCTGTGAGTATTGGGTTTTATTACCCTGTAACTTATGGGTGCTCTGGGGCTGGTTAAACTGGAGAGGCCCTGCCCTAAGGCCACAACTGCAACTCTTGTCTTGATTTTATTTTTAATTCCAGGGCCTTCCAGGACCTCCAGGGACTACAGGACCCACTGGGCAAGTGGGTGACCCCGGAGAAAGGGTAAGAGGCTGACTCAGTAAGGGGCTGTCTTTGCGTCCGCCCTCCTGCCTGCTCTCCCTCCTCTTCCTGTCTTGTTTGTGACCATCTCTGTCTCCTGCATTACTTTTCAATGTAGAGATGACGGTAGGAACATCTATTCTGTCTTTAAATTGTCCCTCACCCCAGGGACGTCCACTGTCACCCCTCAGATCTTTATGGGGTTGACTGTTACTCAGCTGTGTGCCAGGGTCACCGGCAATGTCCACAAAGCCTAAGACCCAGCCTGGGCCTGGAGGCAGCCAGTCAACTGTCAGGGGGGCCTGTGTTACTGTGACAGATAAGCTCGAGGGTTCCTGGACTTCCTCTGTGCCTCACAGGTACATTACTCTACATTAGGCCTGACTTTAATCCCTCATGTTGGAAATCAAGCTGCTGTTCCAGGTGAGGTGCTGTCTGTGCCCTGGGCCACCAGCTCCTTGTGACACCTGGTGGTGGGTTGGAGTATTGCATCCTGTGGGTTCTCTGAAACAAAATTCAGATTTCGTTTTCCCTGTGCCCTAATGAACGTCATGGCTTGTGCCATCTGATTAGCACCAATAATCAGACAGCTGAGTTGTAAATGTTGGTGTTGGGGTGTGGGTGTTAACAGTAGACATTTGTCCCCAGACCCCCTCTGGTGGCCCAGCACAGTGAAATATTCAAGTAGAAGGACATATTTGGGTGGGTGGTGTGTCGCATCCATTCCAGTGGCGGGGCTCCCCCTTGGCAGCCTCGGGGGATATTGTGATGGCCTTGGGGCAGGGCTGGGTGGTGAGGTGGGGTGTTTGCAGACCCAGGAAGATGGCATTTGTTAGCCACTAGCTTCACAAGAAGGGGAGAACGGAGAGGACAGGAGATGGTGGGGTGGGTGTCGACAAGCCAGCTCCAGCCTCCGTGGTGGGGGGCACCATGAGTTAAGCACCTGCTGGACAGGGTCAGGAGACTTGACATGGACCCTGTACGCTGTCAAGGAGGCTCATTCTGCAGGGCTGGATGACCTTTGAGAGCAGGACAGAGCAGACAGGGTCAGGCAGTGAGACTGGGGCCCCCGGGCAGATGGCTGTGTAGATGTGTCAGACGGAGGCGGGGCCTGGCTGGATCCCAGAGCTAAGTAGCAAGAACACAATTTTGCAAAGCTCAGGGAGCTGAGCACCCTGCCATCTCCTCCCTGGGTCAGTCTAACAGCAAAGTAAAATCTTTCCCAAAGATTTTGGCAAATGTTCTGGCTGTAGCTCCCCCAAACTTTTCATCATCATTGGGGTGAGTGTCTCTGCTAGCTGGACTCTGAGAGTCTGAGTTGGCCTTATAAGGTGTCTGATCTGTCTGTCACATCCTCTGCCTCTGTAGGCCAGGGCTTACAGAATGTTCTGGGTGACCACGTCAGGGCATGACTTGGGCAGCTGATCAGGTAATACAGAGAAGCTGATGTGGAACAGAGGTCAGGGGATCGTCCCAGCATAGCTTTTAACCAAGGAGCTGATCTTGTTCACATAACGTAATGAGAGCCACGTCACTAGCAGGGGGTCCAGTGTCATGCAGGGTGGACAGGTGACCAAGAGAGCAGCTTATTTTCTGTCTTGGGGCCTGTCCTTGTGTCAGAGCCTGTGCTCAGCAAGGGGCTCTGCTTCCGGCAGGCTCAGGTTGGAGAGAGTTGGCACTTGGAATTGCCGACTCCTAGGGCTGGTTATCCTCGACTCTCTCCTTCCAGGGCTTCAAGGTCGTCCTGGTTCAGCAGCTCTCACCTTCTTGGGGCTGTTCTGGGGTAACTAAGTGGAGGCCTTTGTCCTGAGAGGGAACTGTCCTTCCACCTTGGAGTAGGTCCAGGAGGAGCCTGGAGGCCAGGACTTTGGAAATGGACAGCTGTGGGTGAGGGGCAAAGCTTAGGGTACCTCTGGCTTCCAGCATCATGGGCCACATGCACATGCACATACCAACTCACACCCCTGTGCATGCACACATATGTGTGCGTGCTCCCATACCTACACACAAGCACACACTACCCAGACAAGGTTTCTTTCATGGTAGACACAGACTCTAAGCTTTAATTTGGAGAATTGCTTTCTCATCATCTTTGGCACAGTTGAAGCCTTAGATAGATTCCTAAGAGGAAGAAACCTGGGCAACAATAAGTGTTCTTGATCTGTGTGTGTGTGTGCGCGCGCGCGTGTGCGTGTGTGGTGTACTGCTGGGATGGTAGGAGCCTAGGGCTTTGTGCATGCTAGACAGTCACTCTACCACTGAGCTGTGTCCTCCTGGCCTTGGATATTTTTTGTACTAGATAGAGGTGGAAGCCAGGACATCATGCATGCTAAGCAAATGTTCTACCATTGTGCTATAACCCCAGTCCTTTTTTTTTTTTTTTTTTTTTTTTTGGTTTAAATTGAGACAGGGCCTTACTGAGTTGCCCAAGCAGGCCTTGAACTCTCTCTACAGCCTAGGCAGGCTTTGAATTCACAGTGTTTCTGCCTCTGCCTCACAATAAGCTGGGATGAGAACCCCACCAGGGCTGACTTTGGCAGGTAATGGGCGCCTGATAAGATACATTAGCAGTTAAAATAGGTATTAGAGGGGCTGGAGAGATGGCTCAGCGGTTAAAAGCACTGACTTCTCTTGCAGAGGACCCAGGTTTGATTCTCAGCACCCACATGGCGGCTACGAACCATCCTTAACTCCAGTTCCAGGGGAATATGAAGCCCTCTTCTGACCTCTGTGGCATTGCACAACACAGGTGTACTCACATACATGCAGGCAATATATTCATACACATAAAAAATAAAAATAATAAATTAAATGTATATATATTAGAAAGTCTTTATCCCAGCAGCTGTGCAAGGGGCTTGGCTAGCTGAGGTCCTGGGATGTTCATCCTGGGTTCTGGGGTGTTCATCCTGGCCATGTGTGTCTTAAGGAGAGCTGGAGTTGTCCACGTGTGATGGCCAAGGATGGGTTGAAAGAACAAGGAGCCCACTGTGACACGAGGGAGGGAGCACCTGCATATGCCACGGTCTGTAGTGAGGAGAAAAAGCCAGAGGCGGAACTGGGAGGACAGTCCCCAAACACGAAGGAGAGGCATCCCCTGAGCTATAGCCTGAGCAGGGGTAGGCAAGCTGAAAATGTGTGCAGGCTTGTTCTGATTTCAGGATGTTTGCATGACCGATGTTCCTCGCTAGGAGCATCGTGCTATGCCTACTTGGAGCATGTAGTTGTGGCTGGTTCTGGAGGTGGAACCATTGCCTTGTCAGTTTGGGCAAAGCATGGGTGGGAAGTTGATGCCATGTCCCTGTAAACCTCATCTGCCTGGAACCAGGAGGGGCCTGCCTGCCTTGGTGAGAGAGCCACGTGGTGGGACAGTAGCCGGAAAGCCGATCATCTTAGTACTCTTGTGTCCATGTGGTCCTGAAGTCCTCGGGTCACCCTACAGAAGCCAGTCCTGGGGGTGTCTGGCTGGCCCTGTGTCATGGAGCAGATGGGCTGGGTTTGTGGGGTGGGGAGGGTGAGCCCATGCTGCTCCTGAACACACTTGAAGTTGAGCAAGATGGCTTTGTGCTCCTGTGGGCGGTTCTCCCTTCTGTTCACACCTTCCTCTTGGCTGGTCTATTCAAGGGAGTGGGCGCACTGTCCTGTCCCCCATCCCCTGACTACGTGCTGAGCTGAGGGCTGGAAGAAGGATGGGAGACCTGGGAGCCTGAGCTCATTCCTAGACTGACAGGAACCTTCCTCCCAGCCACTGCCCAGCCCCCAGCCTCTAACCCCCAGCTTCCAGCCCTCAGCCCTCACCCCCCATCCAGAAACAGTCCTTTCTCGACTCCCCAAATCCAACTCAATCAACTCAAATCCCCCGTCCTTCTCGCCACAGCCCCTGTCATGCCCTGCCCTTCTCTGGGGTTCTGGAACATTCCCTGCCTTGGAGTTTTATGTTGCTCTGTGCTTGTCTAGCCCATCTCTGACCTCTTGTTCTCACTTTTGCCAGCTCTGTCCCTATGTCTGACCTTCTTCCCTCCCTGTCCACAGGGTCCCCCAGGACGTCCAGGTCTTCCTGGAGCTGATGGCCTGCCTGGCCCCCCAGGGACCATGCTCATGCTTCCGGTGAGTGTCCTGTGGGGTGGGCAGTGTGAGCAGGTAGGCACTGAGGTCAGGGAGGCCAATGAGGGCAGTGAGTACAGTATGGGCAGTGAGGGCAGTGAGGGCAGTGTGGGCAGTGTGGGCTGTGAGGGCAGTGAGGGCAGTGAGTACAGTATGGGCAGTGAGGGCAATGTGGGCAGTGAGGGCAGTGTGGGCAGTGAGGGCAGTGAGGGCAGTGTGGGCAGTGTGGGCTGTGAGGGCAGTGAGGGCAGTGAGTACAGTATGGGCAGTGAGGGCAGTGTGGGCCCCCCAGGGACCATGCTCATGCTTCCGGTGAGTGTCCTGTGGGGTGGGCAGTGTGAGCAGGTAGGCACTGAGGTCAGGGAGGCCAGTGAGGGCAGTGAGTACAGTATGGGCAGTGAGGGCAGTGTGGGCTGTGTGGGCAGTGAGGGCAGTGAGTACAGTATGGGCAGTGAGGGCAGCAAGGGCAGCAAGGGCAGTGAGGACAGTGTGGGCAGTGTGGGCTGTGAGGGCAGTGAGGGCAGTGAGGGCAGTGAGGGCAGTGAGGGCAGTGTGGGCAGTGTGGACAGTGAGGGCAGTGTGGGCAGTGAGGGAAGTGAGGGTGTGGGCTGTGAGGGCAGTGAGGGCAGTGAGGGCAGTGAGATCAGTGTGGGCTGTGAGGGCTGTGTGGGCAGTGTGGGCCGTGTAGGCAGTGAGGGCAGTGTGGGCCCTGTGGGCCGTGTGGGCAGTGAGGGCAGTGTGGGCCGTGTGGGCCGTGTGGGCCGTGTGGGCAGTGAGGGCAGTGTGGGCCGTGTGGGCCGTGTAGGCAGTGAGGGCAGTGTCGGCCGTGTGGGCCGTGTGGGCTGTGTGGGCAGTGTGGGCCGTGTGGGCCGTGTGGGCAGTGAGGGCAGTGAGGTCAGTGTGGGCAGTGAGGGCCGTGTAGGCAGTGAGGGCAGTGTGGGCCGTGTGGGCCATGTGGGCAGTGAGGGCCGTGTAGGCAGTGAGGGCAGTGTGGGCAGTGTGGGCCGTGTGGGCAGTGAGGGCAGTGAGGGAAGTGAGGGCAGGGAGGGCAGTGAGGACAGTAGGGGAGTGAGGTCAGTGAGGACAGTGAGGGCAGTGAGGTCAGTGAGGGCAGTGAGGGCAGTGAAGGCAGTGAGGGCAGTGTAGGCAGTGAGGGCAGTGTAGGCAGTGAGGGCAGTGTAGGCAGTGAGGGCAGTGTAGGCAGTGAGGGCAGTGTAGGCAGTGAGGGCAGTGTAGGCAGTGAGGGCAGTGTAGGCAGTGAGGGCAGTGTAGGCAGTGAGGGCAGTGTAGGCAGTGAGGGCAGTGTAGGCAGTGAGGGCAGTGTAGGCAGTGAGGGCAGTGTAGGCAGTGAGGGCAGTGTAGGCAGTGAGGGCAGTGTAGGCAGTGAGGGCAGTGTAGGCAGTGAGGGCAGTGTAGGCAGTGAGGGCAGTGTAGGCAGTGAGGGCAGTGTAGGCAGTGAGGGCAGTGTAGGCAGTGAGGGCAGTGTAGGCAGTGAGGGCAGTGTAGGCAGTGAGGGCAGTGTAGGCAGTGAGGGCAGTGTAGGCAGTGAGGGCAGTGTAGGCAGTGAGGGCAGTGTAGGCAGTGAGGGCAGTGTAGGCAGTGAGGGCAGTGTAGGCAGTGAGGGCAGTGTAGGCAGTGAGGGCAGTGTAGGCAGTGAGGGCAGTGTAGGCAGTGAGGGCAGTGTGGACAGTGTGGGCAGTGAGGGCTGTGAGGGCAGTGAGGGCAGTGTGGGCAGCGAGGGCAGCGAGGGCAGCGAGGACAGCGAGGGCAGTGTGGGCAGTGAGGGCAGTGAGGGCAGTGAGGACAGTGTGGGCAGTGAGGGCGGTGAGGGCAGTGAGGGCAGTGGGGGCAGCGAGGGCAGCGAGGGCAGCGAGGACAGCGAGGGCAGTGTGGGCAGTGAGGGCAGTGAGGGCAGTGAGGACAGTGTGGGCAGTGAGGGCGGTGAGGGCAGTGAGGGCAGTGGGGGCAGCGAGGGCAGCGAGGGCAGCGAGGACAGCGAGGGCAGTGTGGGCAGTGAGGGCAGTGAGGGCAGTGAGGACAGTGTGGGCAGTGAGGGCAGTGTGGGCAGTGAGGGCAGTGTGGGCCGTGTGGGCCGTGAGGGCAGTGACGGCAGTGTGGGCAGTGTGGGCAGTGAGGGCAGTGTGGGCAGTGTGGGCAGTCAGGGCGGTGAGGGAAGGTGTGCCAGAACATATTGCAGCCTGGGAATGGCACACATATGGGCAGGGGTCTCTCCAGGCCCACACCGTCAGCCTGTCAGAACGCCTCTCCTGGGTGGCCTTCTGGGAAGCCTGCTGCCTGGTTCCCTGGGACACAGGGTATTTCCCTGAAGAATCAGCTGGTGACTGTGGGTGGGAGAGAACCAAAGCCTGCCCTGGAAGCTCCCTCTGTGGTCAGATGCCATCTTCTGTAGCTGTGGTGGTTTATTCTAGAACCTTCTGGACTGGATTCTCTTGTCCTGGATGAGTGAGGACAGTCCCTTAGACCAGTGGTTCACAGATAAACTCAGGAGTTCGGATGGTGGCTCGAGGCTCCCAAACCAGAAGTTTCGTAGGCATCTGTGTCCTGGCCCAGCGCTAACCAGCTGCTGGCATTGGAGTCTCTACAGTTCCAGGGGACCATGAAGGGAAGGGCATGGACCCCAAGGGCTCCTGTCTACCCTCCAGGAAGGAACTGGAGCCCTTGCAGAGGTGCCCTCAGGGTGGGGCAGTCTCCGTAGGTGAGACCTCCTAGACAGGTGAGTTAGGAGCAGACTTGAGTGGGGCCGCAGCAGCCCCTCAGCCTCCTCGATAACGACTTTTCTTGCCCCTCAACCCCAGCACTGTGCCCAGGGTACTGTGTCCCCAGGACCATGTCATTAAGACTGTACTCTCCAGGACTGTGCCTTTAGTACTGTGCTCCTAGGACCGTGCCTTCAGCACAGGACAGTGGTACCCTCAGCACTGTGCACCCAGAGCCATACCCTAAGCACTGTGCATTCAGCACTGTACCGTCAGCACAGTGCACTCAGCATATGCCCTCAGCCCAGTGTTCTCAGGACAGCTGGTGTGAAGGATCATGGGAAGTCAACGGGATCCCCTTCTAAGGGCAGATATTAAAGAGTTTAATGACATTTAGTTCCCAAGTTCTTTCCCTGAAGTCTCAGGAATAAAGCACCAACTCCATTTTAGCGCCAAGATGCGTGTCGTCCTGAGGGAGACCCAGCATGGAGCCAGGTGACCTTGCAGGTCCCTTGGGCATAGCTGTGTTTCTTCAGCCCTTGGCTGCCCTTAGCAGAGATGAGGAGCTGTGGGGCACCAGGGGGCAAAACTATGGAGCCTTGGAGTCCTTTGTGGGCACAGGCAGGATCTAGGGTACCCCAGGACTAATGCTGACGGGGCAGCAGCTTGGCAGCTGTGGATCAGGGCTGTGTGCACCCAGTGTCTGGGGCTAGAAGACGCTGAACCAGACCGTGGCTCTGCTCTCCTTCAAACCCATGAGCCTGCCTTGGCGTGGGCACCACTCTACTCCTGGTGACCCCTATCTTGCTCTTGCAGTTCCGGTTTGGAGGTGGTGGCGATGCAGGTTCCAAGGGCCCCATGGTCTCTGCCCAGGAATCCCAGGCCCAGGCCATCCTCCAGCAGGCCAGGGTAAGTATTGCAGATCCTTGAGGTCGTGCAGCAGAGCCTACCCCCGTGACTGGAGAGATGAGTAATCGACTCAGAGTCCTCCTGTTGGGAGTCAGGAACCCTGGGATAGCATGGGAAACTTGGGGAGATATTTTTAGGGGTTCTCTGCCCACAGTGAGGGGTGGAAGGCCTCTGTAACTTGTCTGACCCAATGGCCCCTCTCCTGTTGTGTGCACACACACCCCTCTGCCAGGTCCTGCCCTGGGGGTCAGCAGTGGGGAGAGAAACCCTTCAGGGCTCCAGGAAGGGGTGTTGGGCAGGTGGTTGACTCGGGCTCCCTGGGCTAGGGTTAGGGTTTTGAGGAAGTTCTGTAGAAGTGAGCTCTTAGGCCCCGGACCTCTCCCTCTGAGCCTAGAATCCTTCATGAACCCCAAAGCCCTTGCACTGGGTCTAGGGTTCCTCCTGTGAACCTGTGGTCACTTACTCCGAGCCCAGGGTCCCTTGCAGTAGGACTGGGATCCTCAGGAACAGGGCCCACAGAGGAGGATCTGCCTCTTTCCCAATCATCAGCTCATGGCATTATTAGAGAATGTGGCTCCAGATTGCTGACTGCCCATGACAGGCAGGATACTGCCACTTCCCTGTGGACTGGGCAGGTGGGTGATCTTCCGGTGGAGTGTGGAGGAAGCTGACACATGATTCCTTGTTTGGGAAATATTGATGCCACTCTCCGCAGCGCAGAGGAGATGTTAATGGCCAGAGTGCGCTGGGGTAATTAGAGGACGGTTTCAGTATTGAGTAGTTACTGTGGAATAGATTGACCAGCGATATAACCCAAGCCTGACAAGCTACTACCTGCACTAGATTTATTGACTTGGTCATGCTTGGCTGGTCTTTTCAGTCTGTGTGCATTTTAAAGGCAACCGAGTGAGAGGCTTAGATGACCTTTCAGTATTATTTTATGTATGTATATATGCATGCAAGCACATGTGCCCATGTGTGCATATGTATGTGGAGGTCTGAGGTCCACATCAGGTGTCTCCCTCCATCCTTTCCCCATGTTGTTTTTTGAGACAGGGTCTCTCACCTGCGATTCTCCTGCTTTGTCCCCCCCCCCCCCCGCCCACTGCTGGGGTTACAGACAGGTGCTGGTGCATCTGGGTTTTTACTGGTTGCTGGGAATCGAAACTCGGGTTCTCATGTTTGCATAGCAAGCACTTTACCAGCTGAGTCATCTCCCTAGCCCCCAGATGGTTTTATAATGTAAGAGAATCTTCCAGAATTAAGATAGCACCATGGTGGGAGTCATAGTTCTGCAGCATAGCCGTTCCCTGAGCAGACAGCTTGAGTCTCTGTAGAAACTGGCGAGAGCCACAACCAGAGGTCAGGGGGCTGTCCATGAGTCCAAGGTAGGACAGGCTCTCCCATGCACCCCAGACACCTCCCTTGTTACTGGAGAGTGCCTGAAGTGTTTCCCACACTTGAATGGTCCAAATTCATGTGGAAAGTATGCACTCACACCCAATCCAGGGAGGGCGGTCAGATTTCAGATTCAGTGCAAGGGAATAGGGTCTCTCCAACAGAGCTGGAAAGGGAGAAGTGGGAGGCCCTGCCCATAGTGGGGTGGTAGTGACTTCTGGCTTCCGCCTCTGTACCCTACTTCCCTGCAGGGGGCGCTGAGAGCCTGGAGGAACAAGGCCAATGGGACCTTCTCCCCGAGCATCCTGTGCCCCCTCCCCCATCCTAGCTCCCCGTACCTTCTGGCCATGTGTCACCACCAGTCAGGAGCCAGAATACCAGGACATGATCACCTACAGCCTCTTCTGATCTTTCCATTTCCTTTGCAGTTGGCGCTGAGGGGACCAGCTGGCCCGATGGGTCTCACTGGGAGACCTGGCCCCATGGTGAGCGGTTGGCAAGGCTGGGGCCATTTGGTGGAGGGCAGTGGGAGGCCCTCCACATGGTGTCTCTGTTTCCAGTGGGGAGCTGGCAGGGACAGAGCCTCTTGGAGCTGTTTCGGTCCCTTTTGAGAATGTGTTGGGTGACTCTTCAAGATGAGTCAAGGCATTGGGGGATCCCTGGGAAATAACACGCAGCTCAGGCATGACGGGGAGGGAGGGAGCATCCTCTCCCGCTCTGTGTCTGAACTCCGAGCTCTCCTGAGGAGCACACTCCAAGCTGCTCTCCCCTTTGTTTGTCACAGGGAATCAGAGGTTAGGGGACTGAGGTACTGGGGTCTATGACCTCAGAGGCTGAGCCCACCATGCCTAAGCTAGTGGTTCCTTTGGTGAATGAAGAGTCAGGGCCTCTGTCTTTCTGGGGCCTCCTCCTTCCTTGCAGCTCTTTCCCAGGGTTGAAGGTAACCCCAGTGTGTGCAGTTTGTAGTTTTGCCCTGCCTGGCCCAGGGGCCCTGGCTCAGCTCTCTCCTAGGGCAGCATGGAGGCAGTGTGTCCAGGGACACTTAACTTTTGATAAAGTGTCAGACACGTACTGGCTACCAGAAGTATGAACTGGCAAGGTTAGAGGATTCGTACATCATGGGGTTCTTGGCTAACTTTGTCGTCTGCTCTGCCTGGGTCTGGGCTCAGTCCCCTGCACCCAAGCTGGCAAGGCCTGTCACCTCTAACTGTCCCATGGGTTAGGCTTGACTGCCCTGAGCTCTGGGCTCTCAGGGACCATAGGCCAGCTTGTCTTGGGGACAGAGACCTCTTCTGACTTCATGGTGGTAAGCCCCATGGCCTGGGGTTCCATTCAGTACCAGGAAGGGATCCAAACAGCCACAGATCCCTCCTGAAAGTTGGGGCTCTTCCCTTGGCCACAGTGAGCAGTCCTGAGGTCCTCCCTGCCTGCGCTACATGTAGCATCTGTCCTGTGTCTCTTATATGAGCATACGCTAATCCAGAGTTGTTTCCCTAGGGCCCTCCTGGAAGTGGAGGCTTGAAGGGTGAGCCGGGCGACATGGGGCCTCAGGTATGTGGGAAGCTCTGCTTTGTTCTTGGGAGGGCAGCTCTTGGTTGCTGGTGGGGACATAATGCTGTACTTCTTCAAGGGAATCAGGAGGAATTACCACTCAACACCACACAAACAGAAACAGCTTTAACTTCTGGGACAGAGCAAGGTGGCCGTGTGGTCTGTCTCCAGCCCTGACTTAGGGCAGCACCCCTGTAATTTGTTCCCTGAGATGCCCACATGTGGGCAATTGGAACAGAAAGCTCTGGGCTAGGCTGGCATGCATGGGGACAAAGGTTTGCCCTTCCCTGGAAGTGGGGAATGCCCTGATGTTCTGTCCTCTTATTCCTGGCAGGGTCCCCGAGGCGTGCAAGGCCCACCTGGCCCAACGGGGAAACCTGGAAGACGGGTGAGTGCTTGGTGCTGCACGCATGTGATTTAGGGATAGCCACTGGGTCACTGGTAGAGCCTAACCCACGGTGGACTGTCCCCCTCAGTATCTCGTGGTTCCATGTCCACCTCTAAAGCTGTGTCTGAACCTCTGTTCCGGGGAAATGCTGTGTGTCCATGATGATATGGCTCGCCTGGACCTAAAGCTGTCTCTGAGGCTGGGGGCAGCAGGACATGAGTTGACATCATTGCTGGTGGGGACACCTCAGGCCTCCATAAATGGTCATGGTTTGTGGGTGGTGCCCTGGCACCTGCACAGGCCTTGCTTCTACTCACCAGTCTCCTGGGGTTTCCTCTTGAGACCCCTGTTCTCCTGGATGGACCCGGTGGGTTTCATCAGGACCACAGCTACTATGAGAGGTCAAGCTTTTAAAAAAAGTGATGACCCCACTCCAGGCAGGATAAGAGAGTCCTAATTAACCCCATTCTTTTCCTAACGCATGTCGCATGTGGGAACCAAAGCTGCCACTGTTCAGGTGACTTCTGTGCCTGGCCGTGCGTCCACAAGGGAGAGCCCTGTGTGATCAGCCGCTACAGGAAATGGAAAAGAGGGGGCTGTGTGCCTCAATAGTGAGCGGAGACGTGGCAGGGCTGAACCACGCTGGTTAAATCCCTGTCCCCCTTGCAGTTCTTTGGCCTAAAGCAGACCCTGAAAGCCTAAACCTGGACTTTGGCAATCAGCTGGGCACCCTGAGCTTGCTTTTGACTATTTCCAGGGCCAGGAGGCATGTGAGGGAATGGCCAGCAGGGCTGAGTGACCAGCTCACTGCTCAGGGTAGACCCTGCCTCCAGGTTGCTATGTGGTCTGAGGGCGACACATCTCTCTGGTTCCGTCTTCCTTACTTAGGTGGTCTGATAAAAGCTTCTGTCTTTCACATGAGTCTCTGGTCTGTAATTTCCTTTCCAATGGTAGCAAGGAGTTGAGCCTCCCATGGATGTCAGCAACATCAGAGCCACAGAGCAGCTCCCTGAGGGGCCTCCCACATCGCATCAACCTCCCCAAGCCCGGAAGGGCAAGAAGCATCAGGCCCCTGGGCAATCAGGGGTAACAAGGTTTAGTGAGACTGGCACCAAGTTCTCAATCTCTGAGTAGTGATGGGCCTTGGGCTGTAGATCTAGGTCCTCTATGTGGTTGGATGGTGCTGGGCCATGGCCCACCACAGCTGGAATGTTTTCATGATCTCTCTCAGCTTGGTTTACTAGGGAGATGCTCCCAGAGCACCTGGCAAGCCGGCTCTTCTTCCGCATAGACAGCTTTTCTTCCCTATTCCAGGGCCGTGCTGGGAGTGACGGAGCTAGAGGCATGCCTGGACAAACAGGCCCCAAGGTAGGCTCGACTTCTACTCCTCCTCATCCTGGGAACTGTGTTCACCATCACTCCTGACCTCATGTGGATGACATGACCAGCATGCCCACTGTGTGATGCTTGTACTAAGGGAATGTGGTGACTCACTTGGATGGGTCCCTCTGGCATGTGCTGCAAAGACAGATTGATGGGTGAATAGCATGGGTAAAAATGACTGTGCGATCAGTTTCCTTAATGGAGCAGTGTGCTTCAAGTGGGTACTGAGTGCGGTGGGGTGGGTTCCAACTGTGAGACCCTTTGGGAGTGTGCCAGTGAGCAAGCCACAGCCTTGAGGGGTGTATGGGTAGACAGATGACTCTGAGTCTGGGGGACATGAGTCTTTTGACCCTGTCTTGGGAAGTCTGGGTTCTGGGCCTTGTGGGGTGAGTAGACAACACCTCTGGGTGAACAGGGCCTCTGGCAATGGTCCTTGCACAGATACCGGTCAGCTGATTCTCTCCCTCTTGCTATGGTTTCTGGGTTCATCCCTCCTCTCTCTGTCCCATACCTGGGTCACTAAGAACTATCAGTGGTCAGTACATCTCTGCTGGGTCCTCCCATTCCAACGCTGAGTTTTGAGGGCTTCCTACTCTGGTGACCCGGGGGACGGGAAGAGGAGAGAGTCTTATTGAATTGATAGAGTGGTTTATGATCGTTTAACCACAAAGTTATAGGAAGCCTCAAATCCCCTACCCTTCATTTCACCCTACCTGATTTGAACATCCATGAGATGGGATGTTGATCCCAGACTCCACGGGGCTGGAAGGCAGATGGGCCCGGGAGCCACGTTCCCTGAGGGAGAGGCTGAGTGGATGTGAGCACTGCTATGTGGCAGTCCTCTGCACACCGAGGCTGCAGCCATCAGCACAGGCCCCTCCTGCAGGGGGAGATTGCAGAGCAGATTAACATGCTGACACAGCTGCCAGGGAAACACTGCATTCCTGCGTCCCACCACAACTGTGGCTCCAGGACAAGAGCACCTCTACCTTCCAAACCTCTGCCATGCTGGGGAGAAGAGGTGGCATGTGCAGACCCCAGGGGTGACCGAGGATGGGAAGCTACACGGGCCATGAGAGGTCCCTGGGTCCAGGATACACAGAGGCTGAGTGAAATGTGACCCAAAGAAGGATGCCACTGTGTCCTGCTGTGTGGGTGGCGACTGATGCAGTTCTCTTGTTCTTGCAGGGTGACCGAGGTTTTGATGGCCTGGCTGGGTTGCCAGGAGAGAAGGGCCACAGGGTGAGTGTTTGTTCTGGGAGCCTGGAAGGTCCTGCACACAGAGCTGGTTACTCAAGCCCCTTTTACCAGCTTTAGGTTTCTTAAATGGGACCGGGTTCTCCCATCCAAAGTGTCTGCACATAAAGTGGTGGGTGTACTGCGCTGGACCCCGGGCGCACAGCGCTGGACCCAGGATGAAGCTTCCACTGGTAGTGAGCCAGCCCAGAGAAACTGGATTTCTTACTTACAGCTTATGTGCAAATTCAGCAGGCCACTTACCCCAGGGCATCATGGGGTGTGGAAGTGGGGGACAGAGCCTTTCTTTCGGAACCCATTTTGTGCCTGGGGGAACTTCCACACCCCTGGGAAATCTAAGCAGTTACCACTTCCAAGCTGCAGAGGCAGGACAGGAAGGTCCCAGGAAGGTGGGACAGTCTCAAGAGACTGTGCTGAGGAGGGCTGGGCCACCATGGTGCCTGCCTGCCTTTCTTACCCCTGGCTCGGAGTGTTTCCTCTCGGAGCTGCTTTTCTTTGTAGTGGATTTCTTTGATGCCTGTTTTCAATTTTAGCATATTTGGGACTTATAGGCACAAGTGTGTATGTGCACAGAGAGAGAGAGAGAACATTCACAGGCACACACCCATACCCACAGGCACACACATGCATATACATACATTCTTAGCTGCACATATGAATATACATATACATGTTTGCAGGCATACCCATGCATATATATATATATATTCACAGACGCACACGCATAGACACATGTTCACAAGCACACACATGCATATATACACAGACACACAGTGAGACACATATACATATACACATAATCATGTAGGACCCAGATACATATGCACACATTCACAGACACACACACACAGACCCAGACACGCAGCTGAGCATCTTACAGTGAGGCATCTGTGCTCTGTGGGGCTCACCCACAGCCCCCACCTCTCTGCTCTCCTTAGTCTCATGCAGACAAACTCGGCTGTCTTTTGGGGGGATAGGATGGGCAGACCTTTTGACTGGCTGATGAGCCTCCCGTTGAGCATCCACTGAATGTGAGCTCTAAAGGCACAGACACGCATGACATGAATCAGCCCTGACTCTCACGGACTCACAGTCCAGGGTGGTACCCTTTCTGTCGGACCCTTCCTCACACTGAGTGCCCAGTGTGCCTGCATGTCTGTGGCCCCTGTCCAATCTGCTGGGGGCTCTGTGGGAGCCCTGCCACGTGGCCACCTTCCATGCAGAACTAGCCTGCAAGATGGTATTCAGGATCAGAATTAGAGGACAGGGTGGGGAGGGGCTCTTGGGACAGCTGTGGATGGCTCAGCAATGACTAACGGGGACCATGGTTGACTTCATAGGGTGACCCTGGTCCTTCTGGCCCTCCAGGACCCCCAGGAGATGATGGAGAAAGGGTAAGTTTCCCAGCATCCTTCAGCTGCACCTGCTGGTCCCACTCCCAAGTGAGTTTGTACTGGAAAGCTCCAGCTTCAGTGCCAGACAGAATGAGATTTGCCGCTGAGTTGGGGGTTCTGGGAAAGGAGGGAGAGCTCTGCGCATGCATGATGGCCTAGGGAGGCAGCTGTGGGCTTCTGAGACTGAAGCAAGATACAAACATTTATTTTATCCCTCTGCTGATGGAGGCCCACCTGTCACAGGTCTCAGAAAGGACACCTCTAACTGCAGGAGGCAGGTGCCCTGGATCCTGTGGAGGGGAGATGCCAGGGCCTTAATGAGCTCAGCATCTTCGCTGATCTCATCCAAATGAGGTGTCAGGTGGAGGAGCAGGGGCTAGGGAAGAGCAGGGGTGGAGGGATGTGGGGAGTCATTATCTCTGGCCCTGGAGGCAGGGAAGGGCAAAGTAACAAATACAGGAACAGTAGGGAGGGGCTGGAGTCACCCGGAGGGCTCTGTGTCTGTCCTCAGCATCCTCATAGGGACTGGAGGCTGGAGCTGAGCTCATCCCTAGGCCAAAGCACGGTGTGCGTGGCAGAAAATGCGTGATGAGATTTATGAGCTCTCTGCAGGTTTAAGAACCCTGGGAAAATGGGAGGAAGGCACTGCTCTCTGCAGTTTTAGGACTGACCTTGTCAGGGAGCCTTCTCCTTCATGGGCCTTGGTCTAGTCAGCTGTAAGATGAGGAAGGAGAGAGAGGGCTCTTCTGGATGCTGGAGCCTCTTGATTCTGGAAATGTGGGTGCGGTGCATATGCATTCAATTGTGTGTGTGTGTGTGCTCAGCTATGTGTTTTGTGTGCACACATGCCCTTAGGTACATACATGCATGCACAGAGTGTATGTGTGCACATACACGTATGTGGTTTTGTATGCACAGTGTGTGTTACCATCTAGAGGTCAAGACTGGGTTCGTTTTCTTTGCCAACTAAAGAATTGAAAGGCAGAAAAACATCTCAGCTGCAAAGAGCAACTTTTCTTAAACTTGTGGCTGAGTGTGGTGGTACACCTTTAGTCTCAGCATTCAGGAGGCAGAGGCAGGCAGATCTCTGTGAGGTTGAGTCCAGGCTTGTCTACATAGTGAGTTACAGGCCAGCTGGCTACAGGAAGACCCTGTCTCAAAAAGACCACAAATAAAGAAAATGAAAAGAAAAGAAAGAAAAGAAACTCATACATAACACTCACATAGAAAGAAAAGCTCTCTAGAAATGGAGAGGGGATTCAGAAACCAAAAAATCCAAAGCCCCCAGGAAGGCCTGGGACTTTGAAGTATTTTTGGTGTGGGGCAGGTCCTGGTCCCTTAATTTTGGATTGGTGAACGTAAACAAAGAAGTGGATGCTTATAGTTCATAACACAAAGCTGCCAGGTTCGGCCTCCTGGTCTTATCTAAACTGGTCTGGACCAGTCATCCAGAAAAGGGTCTCTGATGGTGGTAGAAAAAGCATACCAGATGTTTGTCTCACACCAAGAAGAGGCAAACGGTAAACTGCTTTCATTACTCATCAGTGACCATGTTTGTTTATCAGGGATTTAGTCCCTTACAGTGTGCCTGTCGCATGTGGATGTGCAGCGTGTGTTTGTGTGTCCATGCACTGGATATGTACACGCAGGCAGGCTGTGTGTGAGCTCGCAGGACTGTGTGTATGAGGAAGGCAGGAGAGCTGTGGGGTGTGGCGAGGAGCAGTGAGCTGGCCAGCAGTGGTGATAAAATACCCTGACAGAAAGCAACTTAGGAGAGAAAAGGGTTTATATGGCCCATAATTCCAAGTTACAGTCTGTCATGAGGTCAGGGCAGGGACTTGAGGCAGCTGGTCACATCCCATCCAAGAGAGACAGAACGAAGGCTCCAGTGCTTGGTGCTCAGTTGGCTTCCTACTCTTACAGTCCAGGGCCCCAGAGCAGGGGTGGTGCCGCCCACTCTCAGGCTGGGTCTTCCCACATTAATGAAGGCAGTCAAGGAAAACCCTCACAGACATTCCCACCGGCCAGCCTGATCTAGACAATCCCTCTAGGATTCTAGGTTGTATCAGGTTGACCGTTAAACTAACCACCATACATCCCATCAGGATGCGGAAAAAAAGGTTCTTAATGTGTTGGTGTCTGGTTTGGGCCCTGACGTTGACACTGGGCTTGCTGGGATCTGACCGGGGCTCCTGCGTGTCTCACCAGATGCTCTCACCCCCCAGTTTCTGTTATTTATAAGGTGACCAGGGCCTTGAACTTGGGGTGTTCTGCCCTGGTCACCTTGCTGTAGCTGCAGCTGGTGAACAGAGACAGCATCTGAACCTCACCTCTGCCCGGCGGCATCTGCCCCTCGGCAGCTCCTGAATGAGGACAGGGGCCTCTGCTGCTGGAACGGGGATTAGAAAACCAGCATATACCTGAGCAGCCAGAATCCTGTGTGGCCCGTGGAGATGGTCTCTGGGCATTCAGACCTCATAGTTTATCCCTAAAATCCTCTTCTTTCTCCTCCACAGGGTGACGATGGAGAAGTCGGGCCCAGGGGACTCCCAGGGGAGCCCGTAAGTCACTGAATGGGTGGGACTCTGGGCCTCAGCCCTAGAGTGAGGCAGGGTCTGAGGTTGTTGGATATGGCGTACGTCAGAGAGCTTAACCTGAGGATGGAGGCAAACCAGGATTTCCCCGGAAACAAAGAGGGAGGACGCTGGAGGCTGTGTGTCCTAAGGCCATCACTGAGACCACCCAGGGGAGTTATGGTGGGTGCCCAGGTTCAGCATGGTGGGCAGTCAGATGTAACATGTCGGACACCCAAGGCTGTCAGAGTAGACAGCAAGATGCAATGTGATCAGTGTCCTGTGGCAGCCAGGCAACACGGGCCATCTAGAGCATCATGGTAGGTGTTCAGGGTGACCTAGCAAGCATCCAATCTGCATCCATGGTGGGTACTGAGACAGTTGAGGGGAGTAAATGGGCGCAAGCTTGCCCCAGGTCTGACAACTGGACTTTCCAAGGTGGGGGCCCTCCAGGGTGTTACCACCATGCCCCCCATAGGGATATCTGCCGTCCCACAGCTGACTTGTATCTAGGTTCAAAGCAGATTTCTGGGAGGGTAAAGGGACATTAATTACCTTTCATTTACTGTTGTTCAGAAACCTCTGTCTTTGTTATCCAAGTTAGGCGGTGTTGGCATTTGGTGAGGCTAATCGATGAGCTATGCCATAAATGCCACGCAGAGCAGAGCACAGGGTCGGCGTGCACAGGTTCATTTGGGACAAAATTATACCCTAGATGTCTGATTAGCCACTGAGGAGGATCCATCAGCACTGATCTCCTTAACACACGCCTAAGCGTTGCCTTCTGGGTTATTAGCGTCTCAAAAACATTTATAGTCTAAGTATTAAAATGAAAAAGGAAACATTTAAGAGGCAGTGAATGTGGGGAAAGGTTTCTCAGCCACTGGATCTGAAAAGGTTGTGTCACAATCAAAGCGTTTGAGATCCAAGTGCCTTGGGTACAGTCCTGTCCTTCCTGTGGTGTATGGGGCATACACTTACCACTAAAGTTTTGTACCTGTACCTGAGGCAGCAGGGTGCCTCGGGCCAGGTTGTCTCTGTAGGATATAGGCACTCTGCACAGCTCCCCCCTCACTACGCAAGAGGAGGGGAAACCGTGCCTGTCACTCTCTCCAGTGGCTGTCCCCAACAAGGCCCTGATGTTTCCATCAGAGGCCTGGTGTCCCCCGACTCTCCTCCCTATGCCTTTAAACTCTGTAATCCCAGACATTACATCATATGTCACTGGGGAGAGGGAATGAAAACAGACTCAGTGACAAAAATTAGACCCAGCTCCCTGTTACAGAGGGGCATAATTGAGTGGACTTTCTGTGGGGAAATTTTGCACCCATTTCCCTGAGTGTCAAAGGGAGGAGAGAAAGACCCCCTTCCCTGGGGGCATTCCTGATGTCTGGCCTGAGCTCCGTCGTTCCAGGCACCCCTTACCTCTGGTTCCTGGGGCCCAGATGGAGAACAGGGTGGGCTATGAGGAAGCAGGGTGAAATGGCATATTGGTCAGGCCCTGGAGTCATCAGTCAAGCTCCGGTGGGGCACGGAGCACACTGGACATGTGCTGTGTGGGGCAGAGGAGCAGGGCAGGGTTTCACTTCCTGTTGGGTCTTAACCTTTGTTCTTTCTTCTTGTAGGGTCCACGTGGTCTGCTAGGGCCAAAGGGGCCTCCTGGGCCTCCGGGACCTCCTGTAAGTTCTGTCTTATCTTGGCATGTGTAACCTTCCTACCAAGCAGAGGCAGCTGGCCTTGTGACTTCTATGACTTTCTACCTCCCTTTTTTTAAAAAAAAAAAAAATTATTTATTATTTACTTTTTGAGGGGTGCTTGTTAACAGAGCATAGGGTGGGGGGTTATTTACAGAAGAGTGGGTTCCCCCCCCATTTACAACTGTGCTGGAAAGTCCACGCTCAAATATTATTTTTATGTGTATAAATGCATTGCCTGCATGTATGTAAGTGCACCCATGTCATGCAGTGCCTGTGGAGGTCAGAAGAGTGTGTCGGATCCCCTGGAACTGGAGTTATGGACGGTTGTTAGCCGCCATGTGGGTGTTGGGAATCGAAACGGGTCGTCTGCAAGAAGAGTTGGTGCTTTTAACTGCTGAGCATCTCTCCAGCCCCATCTACCTCTTTTCTGGCCCACAGTACCTGTCGATTTTTGTGTCATGAACCGTCCTTGTGATGTCACATTATTCCTCTGTTCGAAAGACTTCCAGCATCTTCTATGGGGGGGTTCTAGAAGGAGGTAGAGGCCCATGGTTCTAACTAGGGCTCTGTTTTAGGGGGTCAGACTGGCCCCACCCTCCTTAGCCCCTCTGACTGACCTTTCTAGAACTCAGGGTCTGCTCGTGAGTGCTGGGGCCTGATGGTTCCGCTAACCTGCGGCTGAGGGGTTGATGGCTTCAGCTGTGAGGGATAGAGGGTTAAGTCTGTCCCTTCCTTGGAGAATCTGCCGCCTGAGGTCACCCAGGCCTGAGTCCAAGCATGTGGAGTGGGATTGGGTTCATTCATATGCTTAGTATACCTCTTTTCTTTATAACTGTCCTGCAGGGTGTAACGGGTATGGATGGCCAGCCCGGACCAAAAGGAAATGTGGTGAGTCTCAGGGGTCCCATGACCTGGCTTTTTGATGATGGCTTGTGGTCCCAGAGCTACCCACGTCAGGTGGGAATGGGGGTTGGAGAGTATAGACCTCAGCCTCTGGTCCATGGCCTGGTACTGCCCTCTGCTGAAAGAGCTGCTGGTGCCAGAAGCCCAACGTGGTTTGGTTTTGTTGTCCAAAGTTGTCTTAACCTGGAGCTGGAGGTCAGTTTCATCAGGAGAGATGGCTCTGTGAACACTGTGCCTATTTCAAGGCCACAGTTTTCTACCAAATGGAATATGTCCCGGTCAGTACCTCCCGGGCTGTCTGTCTGGGTAGACTTCAGGGTGTTTGCAGGAGCAAGTCCACACCCCTTGTATCAGAGTCAAGTCGTTGGCCCTGTAGGTGTGAGGTTCTTTGTTCTTTCAATGGAGGATCCCTTTTCCTGCAGGCTGTTCCCACACATAGATACCTGGGGTGGCTGTCAGACAGTTAAGAGCAGATGGAAAGGTTGAGAAAGGATAGGAAGTGGGGATGAGGGCTCCAAGGTGTGGGTACAGCTTCTAGAACCCCTTCTCAGGACCTTTACTTTTATTTCCTATAGGGTCCCCAGGGAGAGCCTGGGCCCCCAGGACAGCAGGGTAACCCTGGTGCCCAGGTAAGTAACCTGGGGGAGGTAGCTTGGGGAATCAGGGTGGGGGGTGGGGGTTCCAGACCGGTGCCCTAGGAGGGCAGAGTTAGCTCTGCTACCCGTATGGTTGGTACCTATATGAGGGGGTGGTCAGTGGGAAGATGGTAGATGGTGAGGAGGGGCCCTGAGTCTGTCTCCTCATTCCTCTGCCAACCCTTCTCCCTAGGGTCTTCCAGGCCCCCAGGGTGCCATCGGTCCTCCAGGAGAAAAGGTAGGCGGGTCTGAGTTGGGTGTGTAAAGGACGTGCACGGGCACAGGCTAGTACTTCCTGCCCAGGCCTGGGAGGTCTGCTGACCTTCAGTGATAGCCACCTCACTCCTGTGCCCCAGGAAGCCCTGAAGCTTAGCCTTCTGGGAACTGAGCATGCTAGTCTCTGGGGAGGATCTTGGATCATTACCTTTAACTGATTGAAAGATTCACTCATCCATTCGTTCTCTGGCTATGGATAGAGGTGCCAGTTTCAGTGAGGGGAAAACGTGCACGCTGTCCAGTGTCAGCTGCCTGTCATTTGTCTAAAATTTAGACAGAACTGGCCGCCTTGTTTAGCTGCTCTCGTGATTTAGTTGATTTAGTTGAGTTTTGCTAAATTTGACAAATAGACCTGGCACGTCCTGGAAGGTGGGAGTGGAGACATTGGCCTTCCACAGGGATAGCAGGACCCAGGCACTGGGTATTTTAGGGAATGCAAGACATGTAGGTCTTGACCAGGGAAAGCATAATGGGGTGGTTCCCAGGGCTTTTGAGTTCCGTGAGGGCTTGTTGAAATGCAGGCAGCTGAGGGGTATTGAAAAGCCATCAGCCAGGCTGTGCTGCGCCTAAACGTCTAAGAACATCACAGGAAGGGTGGCCTGGTGGCCCTGTGGCCACTCTGCCAGACTACGGGAGGGGTTCTATGGATGCCCCGGGATGCTGAGGAAGGCACCGTGTCAGGAGGAGCCGAGGCTGTTAGAAGGCTCCCAGGAGACCAGTACCTGCTCAGGGGGTGTCAAGGAGAAAGGGGACCCAGGGAGGGGCCTCGAATAGCAGATCTGAAGGCTGTGGTGGAGTGGGGGCCTCTCTGGGTGCTATGGGTGCTAGATGCTTTGTAGCCATTGGAAGCAGGGCCTCAGCAGGTGCCCTGGGTAGAAAAGTTTAGATAATAATCAGTTTGAGGGTGGGTATTGGGCTGTAGAAGGGTTGGACAGCCCTGGGAAAGGGTAAACCCCAAGGGTATTTCCTCACAGACTGTCTGGTTTGTTTAGGGTCCTTTGGGGAAACCAGGCCTCCCAGGAATGCCTGGTGCTGATGGACCCCCGGTGAGTAGCCCTTGTCCCCCTCCCTCCATAAAGTGCCTTTCCCCCCAGGCCAGGGGCCAGGAGCATCAGTTGCCCCCTCCCTCTCTGGGTGAAGATGGTGTGTGCAGTGCTCTGCACTGAGTTAGGTTACTGGGTTCTGGACAAGCTCTTCACAGTGTGTTCCTATCACAGGGGGGCGTGACTGCATAGCGGGAGCATAACTTACTTGTTAGGGTGTGCTAATTAGTGCCCTGAACTTGGTGTCACATTTGAACCTGTGAAGAGTGCTGGGGTGGGCTCTAAGCCATCGCACGTGTCGCTGGCGTGGGAAGCAGGGGCAGGGTGTGCTGGGGGTATTTTTAGTGCTCACGCCCTGGGTTGAGGAAAGCAGGGGAGCAGTGTGTCTGGGGTGTGCAAGCGCACAGCTGGAGAGCCAGACTAGATTGCGCCTGGAAGCAGCAAGCGACAGATCCAACCTGAGGCCAACCTGTGTGGAAAGAGAAGCAAGGGGGAGAGGAAGCAACCCGGGATGTGTGCATGTGTGTTCATGAGTGCATGTGTGTGTGTGTGTGTGTGTGTGTTCAGGAGTGTGTATGTGTATAAATTGTTTATGTGTGTGCATGTGTGTGTGTGTTCAGGAGTGTGTGTATAAATGTGTTTATGTGTGTGTATGCATGTGTGTATGTGTTCAAGAGTGTGTATAAACGTGTTCATGTGTGTGTGTGCCCACGTGTGTGTTAAGGAGTGTGTGTGTGTGTGTGTGTGTGTGTGTGTGTATGTCTGTGTGCATGTGGCTCTGGCCACACATCTGCCCGAAGATGTTGCTGGTTTTAAAACGTTTTAAATTTTAATTTTAATATTTTTAAAGTAAATTATCAAATCCACCCCCATTCCTTGCCCTCCAGCTCCTCCCCATGCCCCCTCTTCCCTTCCAACTTCACGTGGTTTATGGTATTTAGTGAGACTGAAAGGATGTATTTCAGAAACCAAGATGGGCTAAGTTAATTATTTATGACAGCGTCATTTATTGTTTTAATAACATCATTAAAAGGTAAATGTGAGGGGGATGGGAGAAGTAGCTCAGTGATTAAAATGCTTACTGCCTGAGTACAAGGACCCAGAAGCTGCGTAAAGGCCGGTGGCGTGGAGTGCAGCCTCGGGAGGTGGAGATAGTAGATCCCCAGAGCAGGCGGGCTAGGGAGACCAGCCGTGTCAGCGAGCGAGCTCTGGGTTTGATTGAGAGACCCTGCCTCAGTGAATGTGGTGAAAGAGCGATGGAGGATGACTCCAGACATCCACCACAGGCCTCCACACACACACACACACACACACACACACACACACACACACACACACACACACGTGCACATGTACCCTCAGCACTTGCGCGCCCACACTTGCAAACATACATATATACACACGTACATCAGATATGCACAAAAACAAGACAACAGCAACAACAAACACCAAAGGGGGTGCGTGCCGATGCTGGGGACTGCTGCCCCACGCTGTCAGCGTCCGCTCCGAGGCTGCCGCACTTAGCAGGAGTCCTCCCACCTCAATTAACCTAATCTAGAAACTCCCTCACAGACAGGCCCCAGGTTTGTCTTTTGGGTGATCCTTGAACCTGTCCAGGTGATGATCAGTATTAACCGTCACACCAGCCAATAGTGAAGCTCTAAGATACGTGTGTGGAGAAGTCTGGCTGCTTCCCAGGAAGGGGCCGAAAACAGCAAGTGGACAGGAAAAGCATCAGGGCCCCAAGTAGCTCCAGCTGCCCGTGCGTTTGGAGGAAGTTTGAAGACACTATTGTAAAGCTTAAAGAGGACGTGAGCCGCTGCTGAGGCCTGTCTCCTCTTGTATTAGTTTGATTCTGATTGTGAAGAAAGAACGATTTAAGGGCTGGGGAGATGGCTCAGTCAGGAAAGTGCTTGCCATGCAAGTGCAGAGGCCAGATGTGGAAGTGTACGCCTGTAATCCTACAGCTGTGGGGGGGGGGGGGCTGGAGGATGCCTGGGGCTTCCCAGCAAACCAGTCTAGCCGGATCGGAGAGCTCCAGGTTCAGTGGCAGGTCCTGTTTCAAAGAATAGCACAGAGGGCAATTGAGAAGGTACCTGACATCAACCTCTGGCCTCCACATACACTCGCTCATGTGTACACACAACCCATACACATGCACACACATGTACATATGAAGAGGGAGAGAGATGAGAGAGGGAGAGAGAGAGAGAGAGAGAGAGATTTAAAAGAAGCAGGAAGGCTTTTGAGATAGGTCCAGGGCCTGAAATATAGTTGAGTAATTCTCTATAGCACACCGCAGGAAAATGGGTAAATGAATTATGGGTTGCGTTGGTGGAATATTATGGAACCAGTAAAAATAAAATTTGAGTGAATATCCAAGATTTTGAGAAAGTGCTCACAATCCAGTGTTAAATCCAGAATAAATTACACCTGCCCACTTGCTGTGCACACATGCAGAGCAAATGGATTAGTGCTGTCTCCCCGACCAGCCCATGGCTCCAAGGGGTGGGCCTGTGGAGGCGTTTAATTTCCTTTTTCGCTCTCCTAATTGTCTCCAATGAACATATATTACTTTTTTAATCAGAAAAATATCAAATACAAATAATTTAAGCTTTATTATTTTTCCATTATGAAAGTAATGTTCACGGTAGAATATTGGGAAAATGTACACTTGTAGAGAGAGCACAGCCTAGCCTTCTGCAGCAGGAAAATTTGTCAGTCGTAAATTTTCTCCTGTTCCCCTCAGCCTCTCGGCTAACGCGTGAACTTGGTGCCTCCCCACTGCAAGTCCTCCCTTCTAGAGCACAGTCGAGGCCCATCTAAGGCACCTGGCCTCAGGGTGACCATCAGCCGCTGCGGTAGAACTCTCATTTCCTATCGGCCACACCCTGCGAGGTGCCTGCCAAGCACCCTCCCCTTGGTATCCATCTCTAGGACCTTTGGTAGTGTGCTGCTGAGAGGGTTACCATGTAAGCAGGCGGCTGGCTTCCCAAGTGGCTCTTACTCCGTGTGTCACAGGAAGCCTAGCATAGGACCTCCCACAAGTGCCCACTCACTCCAGTTCCTGAATGGTGCCACGTCTGTGACCAGTGGGCACTGTGATGAAGACCACATGTCCCCTCCAGGCCACCCTGATGTGGGATATCCCTCCCTGGCTGTCTTAGATCCAGCTCTGCTCCCATGAGCCTCGGAGTCTTAAATGTCAATGTCATTTCTGAAAGACGGGGCTGCTCCAGCATGGCCCTAAGGCCAGAGCAGCAGGCGCACCCCACCCATGGGTGCCTGCGTTTTCCTTGTAGGCTGCCAGGCTCACCCTTCCCTAGTTTCCAAGCTTCTTTCTACCGGAATACTCAGTGGTGGGACTGCATGTCCGTGCAGTAAGCACAGTCTGTGTTTATCTCCACCTGTGGCTCGCTGTGTGAACTTAGGCTCTAAGCCTGGGGCCAGCCTGAGTTAAAGCCTGTGCTGATTGTTGAGGACAGAACTAGTCCAGGTCCAGGTAAGTTGGAGGGGACCAGAGGACACAGGCGCCTCTGCAGGGCCAGCTCTCACCTCCTCTCAGGCTTAGAGGCCCTGGGCACCCTCTAGGGGTATGGTTGGGGAAGACTAGGACACTCAGATGACTAGATAGCCCTCTCTCTCTGGCCTACCCTCCCACCTTGGTTTCCTCTAACAGCCAGATGCTGTGTCTGACAGACTGGCCTTTGCTAGTCCTGAGGCTCAGGCAGCAGGGGTCTGGCCCCAGCTCCTGATCATGATCGTGAGGTTCGTTTGGCTGCTCTGGCCTTGAAGGACGGCCTAGTCTTCCCTGTCCCCTTGTCTGTGGTACTCTCCCTGGAAGGTAGGCGGGACTCAGGGTGGGTGGCTTCAGGCAGGCACACCCTTGTCCTCACACATAGGTTATGACACAGTGTGTGACCCTTCGTGGTCAGTCAGGACCAAGGCCATGTTGCTTCTTCCAAGTTTGCAGTAGAGGCGGCCGAGGTTCAGTGACCAGAGGTGGCCTGGCTGGGCTGGGCTGCCTGTCCAGCCATCCTTGACTTCTGATTTCCTAGGGAGAGCAGGCTTGGAGGACTATGACCCTTACTGCCACCTTTCACAAAGGCTGCTGAGATAGGGCCTCTTTCTGAACTGGTGGCCAACTAACAATTTTCTTTTTCTTATGACAGGGGCACCCTGGCAAAGAAGGTCCTCCAGGAGAGAAAGGAGGCCAGGTGGGTACTCGGTGCACCCTGTCCCCAACAGCCGGTCACTGTTCAGCTCTCCTAGGTGGGGTGGGGGAGGTGCCCTGGCCAGTTAGCTCTGGTCAGTCATCAGGAATCCCAGACAGCAGGCTCTTGTCCCCCAGAGCTGGAAGCTGCTTCACCTCAAGGTCTCTAGGCTGGTGGCCCGTTTCTCTAAAGGCAGCTCTGTCCTCCCTGGACCCAGTTCTTGTGCTGCACACCCCATTGTCCTCAGGCGTCCTTGCTCTGCGCAGGACACTCAGCCTACTGCCTCCATCAGTCAGCATCCGTGTGGGCCACAAGCAGGACCCGGTACATCTCCCACTGAACTGCTTTGCAGGGTCCCATCAGGGTTGCCTGGGCACTCCCATCTGAAAGTAGCTAACCGTCTTTCCCTTTGGTTGTAGGGTCCTCCTGGCCCCCAGGGTCCCATTGGCTACCCAGGCCCACGAGGAGTCAAGGTGAGAGGGACTTGTAGTTCTGGGTTTTCATGGGGGATCGGGGTAGGATAGGCATGTGGGTCTGACTGGTTCTGGGGAGTTCCTCTGTGGGTAAACCTTCCTCCGGTCACTCTGGAGTGGTCTGGTCCCCCTCCCCTAGCTGGGTATGTTAATGCTGGGATCCTGAACAGCGGGTCTGTGTAGGTGAGGATATGGTCTGCCAGGCAAGGGGACAGGTTGATGTAGAACAGGGGAAAATCTTCAGTTAGCCTGTGATGAAGGAGGTGGTTCAGCACCGTCAAACTTCCTGTGGTTACCTTCTGTCAAATCCAGGATTCTCTTGGGAACCTTTCCCGGGGGTGGATCTCAGTGAGGCAGGGGTGTGGCCTCCAGCCTAGGGAAGTTTAGCAACAGTCCTTTGAGTCACTGGTGTGTTTGAAGAGTGAGAACTCCCCTGACCGCCAACCCCCCAACCCCCCAATCCCTGAGAGAGCAGAGCCATCCAGAGGTGGAGTCAGCAGGACATGTCCATTTGTTTACAATCATGTTTCCTCCGGCAGAAATTCCGAGAACCTTGTTAAGTGGGGCACAGAGGTACAGAGCAATATTGAGAGCAAGGTCCCCCCTGTCTGCTCGGCGGTAACTGTGTTTGTGCTGAGTTGTGTGATTTAATCTCGATTTAGGAGGCTCCCAGGGCGGCTGCACATTCCTGTGTAGATGCATGTGAACAGGGCCTCTTCCTTCTCCAAGAACAGGGACTTTGCAGTGTCTCAAAGCTCCATGCTTCCCATAGACATAAAAACCAATGACTATTCTTTCTTTCAAATCTGATGTGAAAGGAAACACACATACACACACACACACACACACACACATACACACACGCACACACACACGCACACACACGTACACACACTGACTTCTTTAGGTTTGAAGAATTTATACAAACATGACCAAATCCCTGCCCTCACCTGTGGACTTTGTGGCACCTTCTTTCTGTAGACACACTTGTTAACAGCTCCTCTGGGGTATGGGGGTAGAGAACCCACCACCCCAGTGTTCAGTGATGCCCCAAGTCACACTAAGCACAATACCCAAGTGGCCCTGACTTCCAAGTCCCAGGACATCCCAGGTTCAAGAAGAGCAGGCGCTCTCAAGGACCGGCGCCGTGGGCAGGTCAGGTTTCTTACCGAAGCATGCTGTTACCAGCAAAATGCGTAGTGAATTTTATAAGGTGATATTTTAGCAGTGATGCTGATTACAGGAGCTCTGTGCCTGTTTATCTTACAAGTTCCTGTCGCCACCCGCAGCCTTTAGCAGCTTCCATACATGGCTAATTGCTATGGCTGCCTCCGCAAACGGAAAGGTGTTTACTTTAAAATGTTTATGAAGAATGCTCTTATCTGTCTATCTGATTAAAATTCATTCATGACATGAGCAATCCAGTTAGACTTGGAAGCAGAGGGTATAGGGAAAAGCAAGGTTGGAGACAGTGTTCACTTGGGAAATAGACTCTCCCACTCCCATACCCTTGACAGTGCAAGTGGTGGTGTCTGCTGCTGAGCCTTGGGCCCACAGACACGGCAGAGGTGGGGCGGGAGCTGTCGCGTTCAGGGATGGCTAGTTGGCCCTTGGATAAGGTGGTCTGGTTATTTTCCACCTAAGGCCCACCTTCTTCCTGAGAAGGGGTTCTGTTTTGGCCCATCCATCTGCTGTAAAATAATTTCATGAACTAGGGGTTTGTAAATAACAGAAAAGTAGTTACAGAGGCTGGAAATCCAAGGTCAAAGTGCAGGCAGATTCAGTGTCTGGTGAGGGCTGCTTTCTGAGTCACAGCCTGGGCCTTCTCACTGTAACCTCTGAGAACGATATGGATAAAGACTCCCTCACCAGCCTCTTCCCCTTTTCATAGTATTAGGAGTCGAACCTAGGGCCTTGCACATGCTAGAGGAACACTCCACCACTGAGCTAAATCCCCAGCCCTCTTTTTTATTTTGAGGCAGGGTCCAGGAGGCCTTGAACTTGTGACCCTCCTGCTCCTGCCTGCCTCAGTTTCACAAGTAGTTGGGAACACAGGCTGTCTGCTAGAGGAACACTCCACCACCGAGCTAAATCCCCAGCCCTCTTTTTTATTTTGAGGCAGGGTCCTCCTGCTCCTGCCTGCCTCAGTTTCACAAGTAGTTGGGAACACAGGCTGTCCTAGTTTGTTTCTCCATTGCTGTGACAATACACTATGACCACTACCAACTTGGGGAGGAAAGGGTTTATTCAGCTTACATCTCCTGCGTTCATCAGGGAGCCCAGGTAGGAACTCAGGGCAGGAACCTGGAGGCAGGAGCTGGAGCACAGGCCATGGAGGAACGCTGCTTACTGGCTTGCTCCCCTGGTCCCTGCTCATCCTGCTTTCTTATGCAACGCAGGCCCACCTGCCCAGGGGTGGCACCACCCACAGTGGGCTGGGCCCTCCCACATCACTCATCAAGAAGATGCCCCTCAGACCTGGCCACAGGCCAGTCCAATAGAGGAAATTCCCCAATTGAGGCTCCCTTAACCCAGGTGTGTCAAGATGACACTAAAGCTGTCCAGCACACAGGCCTAAAGCACCAGGCCTGGACCTAGGAGTCCATCTCTGCAAGGTTTTTGTGTCTGTTTCTTTCCTGCTCTGTGGAGAAGTCTGGAAGAATGAGATGGTGGGTGGGGCTCTGGGTGCCACCAGAGAAGCCCACTTGCCGTCTTCTCTTTGGAGACTTCCAGCCAAGACCCAGAAGGTGTCTCGGGAAAAGAACAGTGTTTGGAGATGGTTGGCTCTGAAGCAGCTGGCAGGCCTGGGCGCGATGCACCTTCCTGGGTCCTTTGGACTACTGATGTGATTAAGCACCTGCTGTGGGCAGAAGCCATGCCAGGCAGCTGGGGTGTGTGCAGTGGGCCTTCCTCACGTACTCTGTATGGACATGTGTGTACCAGGTGCTTCTCTGTCTGTGCCAGACCCCTCTCTCAGGGATCTGTTCTCAGGTCGGTGTCTGCCCTTGGCTCAGGTCTCAGCAAGCATGGAACAAGCTCCCTAGACTCAGCACCCCTCCCCATGACCCATCCTAGCTACAGTTGCCTCCAAGGGCTTGGGGGGCTACTGTTCTGATGGACTGGGCACCTGCACTGTGGACCCACATCCATCAATCCAGTGTCAGAGAGAGTGATCATTAAACAAGAGTGCCCTGAGCTGCCCAGGTTCTTCCTCCCCAGGGTCTGTTGTCCCATTCCTCCATTCTGCACTCCAAGTCACACATCAAGGGGGAGGCTGAGCAGATGGGGTGTCAACAGTGGGCCTGTCTCTGTACCTCCTAACTCCTTATGCGGTGCTCAGACCACGTCCCTGACTTCTAGGTCTGTGTGCCTCTTACCCTCCTAAAATTCTTCCCAGCCCCAGGGAAAGGCTCCAAACTGCCAAGCCTGTGTCATGCTCTGGCCAGCAGAGGGCACCTAGCAGCCCCTGGGTCCTTCCTGGCTGTAGCCTCAGCTTGGAAAGAGCTAGGCCTCATGGTCCTCTGGGGTCCTGGGCAGAGGTGGCCTGAGGCAGCTCCTGGAGTCAACAAAGTCTTTGTGGGCAAATGTCACCCCACTCAGAGGTCTGACCGTGAGCGTGTGGCTGCACCAGCTACTCAGTCCACATTTAGCCTCCACCAGCAGAAGGACTGGGCCCGGTGAGAATGGAGGAAAAGGGGCCCAGTCTGTGCCGTTAGAGCTGTGTCTAGCAGGGAGGTGAGGTGGTCTGCCTGGGCTGATGACAGCAGTCGTGGTTGTAATATTGATCGATGTTGTACCATGCCACCTTTCGATGGTAATTCAGAACTGACATAATCAGATGCTACTGTGTACCAAACACCTAGTGTGTGCCGGGCACTGGCCCGAAGGCTTTCCGGCATCCCCTCCGAACAGCAGAAACAAGGCTAGGGTCCTTATCATCCCACAGATAAGGAAACCAAAGCACACAGAATTCTAGGACACTGTCAGAGGCCGCAGAGTGGGTGAGGCCTGAGCCTACCTACTTACACTGAATTCTTCCCAGCTTTAAGGGCCAAGGGACTATTTCTAGAAGAGGCAGGCGTGTTAACATGGAGAGTGTTGGTGGGGCGGCGGGGGCGGGG